AAGATTACAAAGGAAGAGGGTGGCAGAAACAGGAATCCAAGTTTATTTATCTGTGTTAATGTCATTAGGACTTTGTTTACTGTACTTTTAAATTTCTAAGGACTCGTTCTAACTTGATAGGTGTGCTGCTATTTTATGAGACAAAGTTAATTTAATTTAACATGTAAGACGAGACAGAGCTAGGTTCTCAGCTCATACAAATCTGCATAAGTCCATTGATTTCAACACAACTATACCAATATTGAACCTGGTCATTTAATTAAACTGACCTTAGAAGCATGCCTATAAAGAAAAAAGTGCAGGGGGTGACCCTAAATGTCAGGTGGCATGGAGTTTTCTAGTATCTAGCAATGAGTCTCAGCTTACCTGACTGGCTCAGTGCACTTCACAGATTGTAGTCATGATATTTATCCAAAACAAGGCATGTAATACATCATAGGGAAATCATTAACTCACTGCCCATTAATATTCTAGTGTGATTCTTGTGCAGTTAACCTACACATAATTATATAGATATGCTGGAAATGTGTAACTAAAATGTGTTTAAATCTATCAGGGGAAATTGGTAAACAAGATTTTCCACACAAAGGAAAGGGATCAATACCTCAAGCCCTGTGTGGCCAAGGACAGTGCGCTATTCATTTGTATCAGAGATAGTGGAGGAAACATTGGCATTGTAAAACTCACAAATGGAGCAATGGTGTCTACACCAGGCAGCCTGATGCCTACCCCCAGTAGGGGAAACACTTCCAAAGAATACATTTCAGTAATTTACTGGTTTACTGGACTATAAAGAAAGGGGGCAAGAACCCCCTAATCTTTCACCTGAGGAGATAAAGAAACTAACCACTTTGTTGTCTGTTATAGGATTCTTGCAAAAGACTAGCCAGCCAGACTGGATAAATGATTATGGTGGGGGGAAAAATGAACACAATTCTTTAGTGCAGTAAGCTGAGTTTTAGTCTCAGTAGTAGATTTTCACTTTTGTTTGTTCATTACCACTTCTATCCTTATTCTTTCTATTTGGTATCACTTAAACCACTACTCCTCGGTTGGGGTACACATAAGCCTGGGGGTACTCAGAGATCTTCCAGGGGGTACTTTTTCCAGCTATTTGCCTACTTTTACAAGAGGCTACATGAAAAGTAGTAGCAAAATCAGTTCAAGTGAAAATGTCATATAGAATGATTTGTTTATACTGCTCCATGTTTAAATAATTTAAGAGCAGGTTAGACAGACGTCTATTAGGGATGATCTAGACAGTGCTCCGTCCTGCCATGAGGACAGGGGACTGGACTTGATCTCTCGAGGTCCCTTCCATTTCTAGTGTTCTATGATTCTATGATTCTATGTGCTAGACACTGAACTGTAAGTACAGCATTTATATTCCAAATGATTTATTTTGTAATGATATGGTAAAAATGAGAAAGTAAGCAAATTTTCAGAAATGGTGGACTGTAACACCATTTTGTATGTTTATGTCTGGTAAGGTGGGATTTGTTGTTTTTTGTTGGACTTTTTTTGGGGGGGCGTAAGTTTTGTAAGTTTTTAAGTTAAGTGAAACTTTGGGATACACAAGACAAATCAGACTCTTGAAAGGGATACAGTAGTCTGGAAAAGCTAAGAGTCACTGACTTAAACCTATGATCTTTTAAAATAAATGTGTTTTACTCTTACTATAAACTAACTCAGTGCTGTGATTGATGGGCAGGAAATATTAGCCCCCACTTAAACTAACCGGGTGCTGTGTACTGTCTCTTTAAAGGAACAGAAAATTTGATGGCATTTTGAGGGTGTTCTAGGGAGGGAAACTAGGCACGACAGAAAGAGATTATGGAGGAAGAACTTGGGGCTTGAAGGATTTGAGAATCCCCTTGCAAATAGTAACTGGGCATTGGAAGTCTGAGCAACACTTCCATGTTTGTTGACTGGTTGTAGGTGTCAGGGCTGTGAGCCGCAGCAGGATATCATTCTAGGCACCTGAAGTTTCAAAGTAGGTGGTGAGTGAACCCCTTCCTGGCCTGGATAGATTCTGAGGCATCTCCATATTCAAGAACAAATATTCAAGATATTCAAGGTCTTTGGGTACCCAACATGAGATACTTTTTAGAAGAAAATGTTGAAAATGCTGGACTTCTGCAAGTCACGTTCTTTTAAGAAGTCTCAAGATGGGCATCCCAACACTGAGGTGCTCAGACTTGCTTGTAGATTTGAAAGTGTTGTCCTGTATATCCAGAGGCAAGGTGGGTGAGGTAAGATCTTTCATTGGACCAATTTCTGTTGATGAAAGACCCCACTTACACAGGGCTCCTCTTCACTACCTTTTCCAGATCTGAAGAAGAGATCTGTGTAATCCAGAAAGCATGTATCATTCACCTGCTGAAGTTAGTCCAATACAGGATATTACCTCACCTACTTTAGCTTTGTACATCCTGGGACCAACATGGCTTACAGCAGCTCTCTATATACAAAATACATATAACTGCCTTATTCACTACTTCCTCCTCCCTCCTACCATTCACTAGAATGTCACAGTTCCACCATTCTGTGATGAGAAGTCCTAGTGCAACAACAAAGGGAGTTTAAGAGAAGCACCTTTCAAACCTGTGGGGAGTGAGGTGGGAGGACGATTCACGGATACCAGCTAATTAGACAGAACTGTGGACGCTGTACAAGAAACGCTTAGCCCTGAAGATCTCATAAACAGAAAATCTGGTTCACTGGTTCCTCTGGCTTATGGCTCCTAATTGATGCTGTAGCAGATGGATGGTAGCGAAGCTTACAATTACAGTATAAGGCCAAGTTGTCTGTATAGTTTGAGCTATCAATGTAATAGATGTCTCATTTATACTTGTGCTGAAAGCGCTTTGCCTTCTTTTGAATTTCCATTTCATGCTGCTAAATCACATCATTGGGATAAAACAAAATCAGATTGTTCCAGGATGTATTTCATTTCACCAAATCTGGAGCTCTCTAATTAGACTGAAGAGTTTTGTTGCCATCAAAGAACATCCAGTATAATAACAATAAAATGAAATATAGTTGTCTGTTTAAATAATGGATTAAAGACCTTCCTTTTTGTTTAGAGATGCAGGGAGAAAAACTGGTTATTCTTCTTAAAGTCTGAAACTATAGAAGGGTAAATTTTTCAAAAGCCCTTAAGTCCCACTTTCAAAACTGATGCAGAACTCTAAGGGCTTGTCTTCATTGCAACAATTAGCAATGTAGCTACAGCAGTGTGACAAACTAGCCAGCCCATGTATGTGTCTAAAGTTTCAGAGAAACTTCCCAAGCCAACCGATCCACATCTAGACTACCACGCTGTGCCGGATCAGCTGATTGTCAGCACAGCATGGCAGCCATGTTTATTTTATTCTTTGCCTATGCCGGGTAAACTACTTTACATGGCTCCGTTGATGGAGCCATGTAGTCTAGACATACCCTTTGAGAAACACCACCCAACAGGCCAGGTAGCTCAATTTTAAAGGACCACTTAAATCAAGCTAGAGATATTTGTGTGTGAACGGGAGTGAGGATTGGAGCAAAAGCTGAGTTACAGCTTGAGCTAACAATACAGTGAAGACAAGGCATAAATCTTGTTGAAAGTCAATGGTAACTAATGCCTACGTCACTTTTGAGAGTGGGATTTAGACTCCTAAATCACAGCACTTTTGAAATTTTTATCCCTACTTTAAAACTTCAGGATTGATTTCAGACTGGTCTGAATATTTCATATAGATATTCATTGTAAGTGTCACTAATGAGGTACTGGAGGGCTCAGGGAACTGGGAAATAAGCTATATACATTTTCATTATGCTGTTTCAGATTCCGTCTGGGTATTAATAATGGTTGAAAATTGTTACCAGCTGATGAGTGTTTATTGGTTTCGGTGAAATGAGATCATGATTTTTAGTTCAGTTCCTAGCACATATTTGTCACATCATTGCCCATACTAATCTAAGGAGTTTAAAATCCAAAAAATCTTCCCAAACGTTCGTCTGTCTTACTTGCACTTATTGGTTTTGTCATTTCAGTTGAGCTAGCTCCTCTCTTGAAATCTAGTGAATTCTAAAGCTATCCGCGTACCAGAGGTGGGGCAATGCAAACCATAGGAAAGAAAAGCAAAGTCTAATAAAAGATGCAATCAGCTAGCTAGAACCCACCAAGCGAGATCCAGACTTGAAAACTCCCAAGAGACCTTTTACAAAGGCAAAAGGGACTGCAATGCGTGTTCAAGGTTTGTTTAGGTGAGTGAGAGAGTTGGAGAGACAGGGAATGAGAAGAATTCAACTGGATGGAAAGGAAAAGGTCAAAGTTGGGGGAGTGCTGAAAAAAGATTTGAGTGAGTTTTTTTCTGATAAGCATCAGCATTGCCAACCTCTAGGGGTTTTGTGATGATAAACCTGAAACAACCTGACTGGGAAAATATACACCATATTATTGCCTGTGCAATGCCATTATTCTTTTGTTTTATTGGAAAAATCACACATTCATATGTACAATGCCACACACTATCGTACATTAAAATGCTATTTTTTCCCCCTCAGAAACAATCGTGTCTGAATTCTTTCAACCACACTGTCTGAAGAGGAAATATTTTGAAAATCCTTTTGCTTCCCAAGCATCTTGAACTTTATAAGGGGCTATTAGACAAACTATTTTCCCAATCTGCCCTTTTCAATCTATAACTTTGTATTGCTTTGCTAAGTTTTTGCATTAGTTTAATAGATTTGCAGAAGTGACTATGTTGCAGTTATCTGCTGAATGATTATAGACTGAATGTTTCATATTGTGTACATGAGGAAAAAGGAGACATGCATGCCAATTTAAAGAATGAGACAGTATATTTGAAGATACACATTACATTAGAAAAATATAGAACAGGATAATTGAAGGCATAATTCATAAGTATTACACTATTCTACATTACATATAAAAACTTAGTTTTCTATTTGTCTGGATGTAACATTAAAAAATACAATATTTGATTTTACTTTACCTGAGCACTGACCAACTAGTTATGTTGTTGTTTATGGGTGACATGGCCTTTTCTTCACCTTCCTTGTTCCCTGCTGAGATCCACTTAAAATCTCACTTTAGCAGCCTGCAGTTTCCCCTGCTTGGCTTCTCCATAATTCCCGCCATCTTTCTCAGAAAAAAAAAAAGCATTCTTTTGCTCTTTTTGGCCTCGCATAAATGAAGAGAGTGCCTATAGACGTCTCCCCATGTGTGTGTTAAGAACAAAGAAATTCACTCAAAATGCTAATCAGACATAGAGACTATATTATCAGGAGTTTTCTAATGCAATATAATTCATGTTATCTGCTGTGACATCATTAGTAATGTGTTCATCTGTGACAGCCAGTTGCCACCCATAATATAAGATGATGTAATTTCTCTTTTCTCACAAATACGCAGCCAAATGAATTAACGAATGACTGAATAATGCCAATGAAAAGATTAAATTTTAGTTTTTATACGCCTCAGTTGATCTGAGACAAGTTGATTATTTCTGTTTTGTGCCTGACTTTGATAGTAAAGTACTAAAAACAAATTTAAAAGATTAGTAGAATAAGCGATGCAGCAGTATATGTTGTAGTATAAATATAAGGGTGTGTTATGCTATGATAGAATTGTGCATTGTTTTAGGCTGCATATTTGGTTCTTTTTTTAAAAAATCCTGTAGCGCTTGTTCAATTTACGTATGCATTGTATGTAACCCAACTGTAACTGCATTTGTAACTCAGATATTTTGTTCACATAACTGACTCTTTAATTGTTTAGCCATTTAATTGTCTAGCCATTTTTATGAGCAAATATTAGATTTATGCTTTCCGTTGTGATAATGGTCCAAGCAATTGTAGGCGTATGAATGACAAAGGGCATGTGTAAGTGGCCATCTAGTATCAGAACTTCTATGTTCAAATATGGTACTTGTCACATCACAAACAATTTTTCTTGGCTTTAAATGAACCCAGATTTGAGTGACAGGTGCATGTTTTATAAATAGCCATAAATACATATTACACGATTGTAAGGAGTGTTAAAAACAATTTTGTAAGTCAGGGATAATCTGATTTGCAAATGTCAGAGGCAGACATTAGGTTACATTGAGAGTTTTGTATATTTTGTGGCATTCTAGACCTAAATATTATGAAAAGACTGAACTGTCTTGTATTTTCTGGCACAGACAATACTAGGGGGCTACATCCTCTACTCTCTATGCTCACCTACCCTCCTCCCAGCAACTTTTGCTTCACTGAGAGAGCCTGTTGACACTGATGACAGGATGACATCATTCTGTCACCCGGCAGGAACATTCTGTTGTGCATCAGGGACATTTTTTTTATATAAAGAGAGTTTGCATTCTAGCTCCCAGCCTGCAACCATTCCACATCCAAAACTCTCATTGACTTCAGTGGGAGTCCAATGCATGAAGTGGCTGAAGCATTTGACCCTGTGACAGTAACTTCTGCAACTACGTAACATAGTTGTAGAAACATCCTATGGCAGGTTATTTTAATTAAATGGACCAAAAAATTGACCATATCCTTGGCACACGTATTTGAGTTTTTTAAAGCCATGCTTTGTAATAAGAGTAAACAACCTTGTTGCAGAGATACCCTCATATAATCAAAATCTATTCTTGCAATGATCTTTCTCTGCACAGGAATACAAAAACACTCTTCTGAAAGATGTTGGTGCTGTTTGAAAAACATGATGTTGTGCACACTGAAACGTCATTGTCTATTAGCAGGCGTCAGGATAATTAGAACAGGATAAGGAGAATTCAGCCAGTTTCGGTGTAAAATGGTGAAAATAATCCCTATTTTGGTTTACTGGTCGGGCAAGAAATTCAGGGTGGGAAATCATTTTGGATAGACCTGAAATGAAAGTTTTCAGGGTTATCAGAAAAATAAAAACATGGGAAAAAAAATTTTGTTAGGGGGGGTCAAACACATTTTTGTTTCAATTTGGAATCTTTTTAAAGCACTGGACATTTGGGAGTGCCATTCATGAACTTAGAAGAGGAGGCTTTGCTGCCACTACTGTCTTATACTACATAGCCCTCTAGTTAGAGCTAGATGCAGGAGACCTGAGTTAAAGTCCACAGACTGCTTTTTTCACAGCAGGGATTTTACCTCAGTTCTCCCATATAGCAGGTGAGTTGTCTCACTACTGGGGTTTCATGTACAAAGAGGTGGGGTGGGAAATATCTCCTAGTCTAGCTTTTTTGTGAATGGCATCCAACTCTTGGGGTGGGAGAAAAGAAGAGTGAGCCAGGCCCAGTTCAGCCTTTGCTGGCAAAGAAACAGGAAATAGTTGCCTCCCTATGTGAGGGGAAGGGGCACTAGCCAGACAGCAGTCAGTAAGCACTGTCTCTCCATCCAAGGGAGACTGCAAAGAAGACCTAGGAGCCTCCAGCATTGGAGGTAATTAAGGGCACATCTACACAGCAGGGCTAAACCTGAAATAAGCTACGCAACTTGAGCTATGCTAATTGCATAGTTTAAGTCGAAATAGCTTATTACGACTTTTCAGTGCTGTCTACACGCAGTTATTTTGAGATAGAGCACTCTTCCCCTGACTTCCCTTACTCCTTGTACAATGAGGGTTACAGGAGTCCAAGTAAACAGTCCTCCAGCTCAACATTATTTTGACATTGTCAAAATAACTGCTGTGTGTAGATATGGATTATGTTATTTTACAATAATGGCAGTTATTCCAAAATAACGCTGCTATGTAGACATAGCCTAAGTGAGTCAACGCCAGAGCCAGTGTGGATTTCACTTTCACCAATTTGTGGCTATCCCTCCCAAAGGACCCAGGAATGCGCCACCCAAGAAACAAAATAAAAGGATAAAATATATTAATGAGATTTTTGTAAGGGTTTTGGATATTTTTGGAAAATTATCATGCAAGTATGTTCTAAATAAATAAAAGACAAAAAAAATTAAGTGTGAATACATTGTTCTTCCACAAACTAATTTTGAAAAGAGCTTTGTTTTTGAGGGGCATTTTGTTTGACAAGGTGCCACCCAAGACCCAAGAGTAGACTCCGTGGGAGGCAAGCTGCCCAACAAATTGGACTAGAGAGGCCATGCCCCAAACTGAACAGACCGGTAGGAAATGGCTCAGAGCAATGGATTTAGATTCCCTGGTTGGAGGGCTCCCCTCCTTAAGGAATGGAAGGAACACAATACACTCCATATACAAATTTCTCCACTAAAGAAAAGGAGCCACACATACTAGATGCTTGTTACATTGTGTCATGCCCCACTGAAGGATGCTCTAGATACCATGGTGATGGGCATGTTATAACATCTTGAGCAGAGTAAAATAGGAGTTTGGGATGCACATGAGAGATGCTGAACCATTTCCAGTATTTGGTGTGACAAAGACTTTTGACCAAAACCTATTCAGAAAAGTTGCATGGAATTGTGAGTAGTTTTCACAGTTCTTGCTATAGTGAAACAAACTGCCCCTCAAAAATAAAGTTATTTTCAAAATTAGTTTGTGGAAGAACAATGTATTCACACTTAATTTTTTTGTCTTTTATTTATTTATAACTTACTTGCATGATAATTTTCCAAAAATATCCAAAACCCTTACAAAGATCTCATTAATATATTCTATCCTTTTATTTTGTTTCCCATCGTTCAGGGAAGTTTCAACCTGAGAAGCTTTACAGAGTTAAATAATAAATAAGAAAGGGAGAGAAAAAAAATGAAGTGCAAGCAAGGGAGAAAAGAGAGAGATTTGCACAGAGATGGAGGGTCAATGAAGCGGAGAGATACAGGAATGCTGTTCCAGATGGCAGAAGCTGCAGTGGGAAAGGCTCTGGCACCAACAGTAGCAAGATTGCGTGCAGGGAGGAATCTGGTACCCTGTGGAGAACAGGAAAAAAGGAGAGAGAACTAAAAGGTCCGGAAGTCAAACTGGGTTAATTATATGGTGCATTATTAAAACAAACAAACAAAAAAACATCCAGAGGGCTGATTCTGTATAACAAGGGTCCTTCCAAATTCATGGCCATAAAAATGCATCAAGGAATGTAAAATCTGGTCCCCCCCCGCCCCCCCGATGAAATCTGGTCTTTTGTGTGCTTTTACACTATACTATACTGATTTCATGGGGGAGCCCAGCATTTCCCAGATTGGGGGTTCTAACTCAACTGAAAAGGGACTTGCAGGAGGGTTGCCAGGTTATTTGAGGGGATGGAGAGATGGCATTGCACCCGTCTGTGGTGCTTTCAGAGCTAGATGGCTGAGGAGTGATGGTTGTTGTCCAGGCAACCAGCTTGAAGGCACCCAGTCCCTTCAGCAGCAGCACAGACGTAAGGGTGGCAATACTATACCTTGCCAACCTTACATCGGCACTGCTGCTGGAGGCAATTCAGCCTTCAGAGCCGGGATCCCAGCCAGCAGCTGCCACTCTCTAGCTGCCCAGCTCTGAAGCTTTTAGAGCCACTGACAGCACCAGTGCAGAAGTAAGGGTAGCAGTACCACAACACTTACTACAATAAACTCCCCCCACACACACTTGCCTCTGCAACTCCCTTGTGGGTCAGAAGAACCCCTACAATTACACCACCATGATTTCGGATTGAAATAGCTGAAATCACAATATGTATTATTTGTAAAACCTTGTGAATGTGAAATTGACCAAAATGGACCATGAATTTGGTAGGGCTTGATCTATAACCCTGCATCTTCTGCCATCTACTTACATCACTACAAAGCCATGTACAATGCTACAGAGTCAGAGAGGTAGCATTTTACACCCCATTGAGGGATGCTTTACACAGGGACAATAGAGATTCAAGTCTGAGGGAGTGCAACTAAAACTGGACCCTGAAATGAACCAGGCTCAAGAAGAGAGACAATATAGGTAGACTAACTCTTTATTGGACCTTCTGTTGGTGAGAGAGACAAGCTTTTAAGATTGCATAGAACTCTACTTCAGGTTTGGGACACATACTCAGAATGTCACAGCTAAACATAAAGTGGGACCGATTATTTAGTAGATAATCTCATGCATTTCAAGGTGAAGTGGCCCACTAACATCCTTCCAGTCATAGAGGGTCAAGGAAGGGGTGGGATTGTTGGTGGCTTGTACATTGTTGCACT